AGAACCAAATAGCCCTTCTCTGAGGGAAAAAAAGAGGATTATAGCCAATTGAAATCATACATAATTTAGACAGCTAGGATTAGGTTCTATTAAACTCCTAACAGGAAGAGAGCAAAAACAAAGAAACATTGTCTCCTGTAAGAAATGTTGTTTTCTACTCAGTTGTTTTAGGAGAGGGGGTAAGGATACAAATCTAATTAACTGAGTAAAGTTACTGTAACTTTCTCAATTCCCAATACAAACTGCTTCCAGAATTAAGAGTGTGAGAAAGCACTGCTCAGGTGGAACAGCAGCCTCTGGGGATATCAAAACATGGCACTAAACCCTCCCACGTGGACGTCTCTCTCCCCCTGCCCAGATTGACACCGTCAAAAGCAATGAGTGATCAAGCAATTTTTTCCCTTTCTTTCCTCCCAGAAAGCTGCCAGAAAATAAAACCATTTTCTTCCCACACACAAGGATCTCATTCTGGTCTAAATGAAAATACAGCTTGTCTCCACGGAAACATATATATCACTACGGCTCCAATACTCTACACAAGTACAGGCTACATCTTATTCTCTTTTCTTCTCCCCTATTCTGGGCAAGGAGTGCCCTGAAAACTCTAGTTTAAGAAAGGTGGAAGAGACCCTACTTGCTCTTCTTCTTAAATCAACAGAACAAATTAATTTATAGAGCATACATATGAATCACGAATTTTGCTAAGTTCCCGAGTCATTAAAATCATATGCAAATGTGCTTCTAAATTCAGAGACTCTTTTCCTGGGCCTAGTAGAAAAAGTGACCAGCAGGAGCCCCATGCTGTTCAGCCAGGAACTTCAATGTGCTGGCTTAGACCAGTGCCAACACAGTGGGCTCGGGACAAGTGGCAACTATAGCCCACCTGAATCCCAGGGACTCAACCACACCTGGCCACACCACCCACCCCACTCCTCTTCCAGGAAGGGCTCAGAAGCTCTACCGAATTTTAACCCCTGCAAACAAGAAGGAGCTATACCATTGGTAGTTAATAAAGCAGTTCTTTAGACAATCTTTGGCTCCAGTAACAGACAGAAGTGTGTCTTAAAACCACTGAGACACCCTGGCAGGTTTGGCTCAGTGGTTGGAGCATCGGCCTGCGGTCCAGAGAGACCCAGGTTCAGTTCACGCTAAGGGCATGTACCTTGGTTGCAGTTTGTCCCCGGCCCTGGTTGGTCGTGCAGGTGACAGCCACTCGATGTGTCCCTTTCACGTCGATGTCTCTCTCTCTCTCTCTCTCTCTCTCTCTCTGTCTCTCTCTCTCTCCCTCCCTCCCTCCCATATCTGAACAACAACAACAAAAAAAGGTGGAAAAATGTCCTCGGGGTGAGGGAAAAAAAAAAATAAATAAATAAAATAAAAAATACGTAGGTATATTTTTAAAAAACCACTAAGAAGCACTGAAAACCACAGGTCTGCAGAACAAAAACTCAGCTTTAATAGAAAGGGGGGAAATTAACAACAACAACAAAATTAAGCTCCAACCACCCTGCAAATCTTATGAAGCAAGCAAAGAACCACCGAGGGAGCCCTGAGGCCGCTCCGTAAAACCTCCACACCTCACTTCTGAAGTGCCTTGCTCAAGGTTGTCTAGGAAAGTCAGCGTGAATTACCCCCTTGAAATAGTCTCTCTGGGTCTACTGCAGAATGAAACTGTTTGTCTCCATAAATCGGCAGTTGACATTTGTACAGCAATCACAAGCAACATTTACAAAGGGCGAGACCCAGGGAAAAAAATACATATTGTTTTCTAAGAGCAGGAAGGCTCGCACGCACGAGGCGCTTTCCACAACTGGAGGAACCAGCAGCCAGGCAGCTACAACCAAGACTCCCCCAGGGGCTAATTTGCTGCTCCGAATCTGGTGCAGTTGAATCCCACTGTGAGGTTTCACAAACGTGGGTCTTGGCAGTTGTGACTGAAGCATCATTTGAAGGCTGCCTGCCCTGAGCAGAGGACATTACTCCAAGGGGGCCCGTGTTTCTCATTCTGAGAAGGAAAATTTGAGCGCTAAGTGTTCTTTTACACGAAGTCCTCAACATTTTACAGTACAAGAAAAAAAAAAGCCTGCAGGTTATGTATTTTCTTAGAAAGTAGGGCGCTTTCTAACAACTAGAGCTTTCTAAAAATGGAATGCACCTCCTCAGATTGAGTTCCCTGTCTCTGGACAGGGTCCAGTAGATGCTGGTGACCAACTGGCTACAACGACACAGAAGGGACTCGGGCATAGGGAGAGGATTAGATGACTCCTAGGATCCTGTTCAGTTAAAGGATCTAAGAAAAAGAGGTGATTACCCAAGGAACTCCAGAGGAAATCACTCTTGCCTCCAATCTAGTACTCATCTGAGGAGGAACACACGTAAGAATAAATGTGACAGCCCCACCCTCTAGGAAGACACACCACACACTCTCATTCACTTCCACAAACCAGCTCTAAATGGTTAGAATTCCATTGTCACAAACTCTACAGTATCATCCAAAATTTCTGGAGAAAGCTTTGGGCTCAGGTTTCCCATCTATGGTAACCCTACAGGAAATAACAGGCCAGGTAACAACTGCTTCAATAAAAATATTGGAGATGCAATATTTGCATTTGTTGGGATCAACTGACCTGTTCACAGACAAAAAGAAACTACAAATAACACGGAGCTTCCACCTGAGCCTTCCTGAAAATCCAGAGTCCTGGAAGACGGAATTAGAACTGTGTTTATTTCAAAGATTATAAAAACAAAGACATTTCATTGATCCCACACAAGAGAGAGTAAGAAATAAAAAAATAGGTGTTAAATAAAAACAAAGAGTAGGATGGTAGAAACATACTGCCATTTACTACGCATAGTAAACACTCCACAGAAGTTTCCAGAATTTGGGAGATTCTACAGGACACATAACCCGATTTCTTCAACAAATAAACTGCAAGGCAAAAAGGGGGGGGGGGTAACCTAGAGATTAAGACACAGACTAACCGTGTGCAATGTGTGGGCCATGTATGTATCCTGATTTGAATGAAGCAACTGTTAAAATGTATATATATATATGAAATGAAGACGTTTCAGAGAAACTTGAACACTGAGTGAATAATGATTTAAAAGAATTATTTTTAAAAATAATTGTATTTAGGTTTAAAATAAGAAGATTTCTTACCTTTTAGATACAGAACAAAGTAATGAAGAAACTACAAGTGAAATGATGTGTTATTTGAAATTTACTTAAAAACAGACCAGTGTGGTGATGGGGGAGGGTGCATGGAACAAGAGATGAACAAGATGGGCCAATGTGTTAACAATTACTGATCCCAAGCAATAGACACATGGAATTTATTATACTATTCTAACACTGTATTTGTATGAATTTTACTGGAATATAAAATACAAAGGGACAGAGGAGAGGGAAGAAGGAAAGGTCTCTAGATATATAAGTATACATATAAGTATGTGTAGAAAATGTTTCGGCAGGGTATATTTCAAAATGTTCAAGTGTTTACTCCTGGGCAAATGTGTTAACAATTTTTAGAAAATGTTATAAATGTACCATCTCCAGGTGGGGAGATTACTGGTAACTTTTAGTCTTTTTGCTTAGCTATGTTTTCTAATTTTTTCTACAATGAACAAATCAGAATATTGATTCCAAAATGGTTTAAAGGGACAGAAGAAAGACGGTCAAAAAAAAAAAAGAAGAGCTGCCCTGGCCAGTGTGGCTGTCGGCTGGGTTTTGTCCTGTGCACTGAAAGGCTGCAGGCTTGCCCTGGCCGGTTTGGCTCAGCGGTTCGTGTCGGCCCCGGGACTGGAGAGTCCCAGGTTCGATTCCCGCTAAGGGCATGTACCTCGGTTGCAGTTTGTCCCCGGCCCCGGTTGGGGTCATGTGGGTGGCAACCACTCGATGTGTCTCTCTTACATCGATGTTTCTCTCTCTCTCTCTCTAAAAATCAATTAAAAAAAATATATATATATATATCTTAAAAAAAAAAAAGAACCTTCTACTTAAATCCACATATTTTAACTATTTCTGGATCACAGCCCCCTTACAGAATCTGATAAAAGCTACTATCTCTCTCCCCAGAAAAAATGCACAATCCTATAGAACTTTTCATACAATGTCAAGAATCTCTGAGATCCCTGATGAATCCATAAACTTCCTATGTTAGTAATTATAATAAATAACAACTGACATTTATTGCATACTGTCTATGTGCCATGCGTGGTTTTAAGTGTTTTACAAATGTTAACTCATTTAATCCCCCAGCAACCCTATGAGATAGGCACTTTCATCATTCCCAATTTACAGATGAGGAGAGTGAGGACAGAGAGGTGGAATAATCTGCACAGGGTCTCATAGCTACTGAGTGGCTGGGTCAACATTCCAACCAGCAGCCTGGCTCTAGGGCTGGGTTCTACCTACCATATTATGCAGCCACATACAGAATTAAATCAAATATACCAAGTAAACATGACATCCTGAATCGCATTCTAGAGATAATGTCTTTAAATTCAACTAACATTAGCGCCTACCATGTGCCAGACTCACCTAAACACGTAAGCTCACCCAGGCCTCACAACAGCGACGTAAGAGACTTGCGAGGAGTCAAGCCTATCTTCTGATCAAGTTCACCCTACGACACAACCAATTTCCTTAAAGTTGGGGAGATGTTCTAAGTCACACATGACCTCCTTGTAACCAGAATCTTTTCAAGGTAACTGATGGAGGTTCAGTACAACAGCTTAATCTGTGGACCCTAAAATTTGCCCGGGATGCAAAGCCATCCAGTTGTTGAGCTCTGCCCTCGTCACTCTGCTCTAGCCAGCTGAGACACGTGAGATGGAGACACACTTCCTATAGTCTGCGACTGAGGTTCACATACATAAATAGACCTGTCTGCACATACTGAAGCCAACCGCGGACACTGTGGTGCAACACTGCACTCACACACGACAGGGCCTCTTCTAGCAAATGCACAACGGATTATGTGAGCCCGACCAATGCTTACAGTTTCACAGTTCAAGCATCGAGTCTCATTGGTGAGCGTTCCCTGAAAAATCTCATGGACCCAGGTGAGTTCTGGTTTATTATTCTCCGCAGGTTCGTTCATGTTGCCATTTTTTAATTTCCCATTTTGTTTCTCCTGTTTCTTCTCTTCCTGCAGGATGTCCGCAATAGTGTTTAGCAAATAATTTAAAAATTCATGAGCATCCTGCTGCATGTAGTTATCAAAGAGATCTGGAAAAGAGAAGGTCATTATTTTAATCTGGTCCCTAAAAAGCAAACGAAAACACTCAATTTTACATGCCACACTTTCGTTTTTATATTGAAAGGGTAAACAGATATGGAACACATTCATCTCTGTTTTGCAACTTCAACAGGTAAGTTTGGAAAAAATTTGGGGTCATTCCATTTTTTTACCACCCACCAAGAACTGAATTGCCTGTATTTCCTTCAAGTCACCATGTAAATGAAAAGCTAGCAAAATTTTTTTATTCTGTCAAAAAAAAAAAAAAAGAAAGAAAGAAAGAAATATAGAAGAAATTACTTGATAAGTTCCCTGATAAAATATTAATATTTAATATGATGTGACCACCAATGATCAATTATTTATTCTGTAATTTATCGAGAGCAACAGGGGTCTCTTCCCAAAGATCCTATTTCACCCTGCCCCAGCCTGGAAGCAGCTTCAGCGAAGCCCCTAAGGGAGATGAGGAACGCATGTGAGAACATAACTATCTGGTCGTGTCCTGAAACCAGGTACAAGTGCTTCCAGGAGTCCACGCTGTCCCTGCCCTGCGACAGACAACCTCGAGATAAATGCGGTTGTGAGACTTCATTACTAATCATGTTCACCACGAGGCTCAGCGTGCTCTGCTTCCTTCTCAGATTATTTTTATTCTGGTACATAGAAACTATAACAACTTTAAGAGACAGCAATCAAATTAAATGAGACTTTATAAAACAAACATCTGATTAACTGTGCAAATCTGCTGACGTAAGGATGAAATCTAGGATAAACACAAGGTGCCATATCAAATATTGCTAAAGTCATAAAAATTGCCAATGCAAAGTTTCTGGAATAACCTAGCCTGTCACCACTTGCCCCCCTCCCTTCCCAAATGACAGAAAAAGCAGAAAAAAGTCAGGTGACGTTTTTGTCATATAAAGGCATCAATTTAATATCCTTTAATTATCTTAGGCAAATAAAAATCAGAGGTATTTTTTATGTTTTTTATTTATTTTTTAGAGAGTGAGAGGAAGTTAGAAAGAGATACATCGATAAACTGCCCCCTGCATGCCCCCCACTAGGGATTAAGCACGCAACCCGGGCATGTGCCCTGACCAGGAATCAAACCAGCAACCTCTCAGTGCATGGGACCACGCTCAATCCACTGAGCCACACCAGCCGAGCAGAGGTATTATTTTTAAAACAGTAGAGGCCCTGGTTAGATAATATGCATTTACTTTAGTCACTTATAACAACATTATAAGATAGTACTATTTTATTCAATGATTGCATCAACCTATTTCTTCCCATCAGTGTCCTGCTTAGAAGGCTGCCTTAGGCACTTTTCCTCTTACAATGATCCTACCTGGAAAAAAAAACAAACCTGCCAACTGTGAAGCAAATAAAAAGATCATTCCAAAATGAGATGACAAATCTGAATTTTTTAAGCATACTTTTAAATCCAGTTTTGTTCTATGCATATTAGGTGGAAAAGAACAACTATCCCTTCTTTGAAAAACTGAGTATTGGCCTACTATTATTTTCCTCTGGGTCAGGGGAGGATTCATTTTGAGAATCCATAGACCCTTAAACACATTCATCTCTACACTACTCACCATTCTCTTTTCTCAGCCTTGAAATGAACTTCTTTGGTGGGATCACGCCAACCTTCTTCTTCTGCGTGGCAATGCTGTGGAAAAGGTCTGCCAGGCACGTCAACAAGTTTTCCTTCTTTTTTTGTTGGGCCTTGTAAGCCAGCACATTCTCACGGAACGGCCGGCAGAAGTACAAGGCCTGAAGCACGGAGTTACAGTAGCAGGTGTTCCCGAACTGCCAAAGGACAACAGGGATGGTTCAAATCACGGTCCGGGGACACGCCACCTCTGGAATGGGTGGGGAGAGGGAGAAGGCCCCCCTCCACGAACCGGCCTGGTCTTCCCTGCATCAGAGTCCTGCTTGCCACGTCAGAATATTAGTAAACCACTCGAAACACCGGTGACTAGCGGATCAACAGGGGAATGAATACAAGTTTACATACGCCTGGTGCCTCTCTAACCCATCAACATCTCTAAAATGGTAAGAAGCACTCTGCCTGGATAAAAAAAAAAAAAAAAAAAAAATCAAATGAGACCTTCTGGTGCTTAAAAAAGAGAAGAAAAAAACAACATAATATGAAGACCCAGAAAGGCAGCCAGTGGCTAAATAAAAGATACCACATTGCAACACATCAAAACTCCTGTGAGAGCAAAACTCCTCTGACCAAATCAAAAAGAAACCCAGGCCCCAGCCCCAGTTGGGGCCGTGTGGGTGGCAGCCACTCGATATGTCTCTCCCACGTCGATGTTTCTCTGTCTCTCTTCCTCTCTCCCTCTTGCTGTATATGAAGATAAATGCAAAAAAAAAAAAAAAAAGTCCTCGGGTGAGGATTAAAAAGAAAAAAGAAACCCAGGAGCCAGGAGCCACCTGCTCAGGTGAAGAGCCTTAACTGAGTGGGGCTTGTTTTAGTTTTTGTCTTTCATGATTCCAGCGTCTCTGCCCACTGGCTTCAGACCATGTTTCTTCCCTTCCTCCAAAGCAGTGGAGGCAAAGGGGTGCCTCCTTGGTCCCCCGCCGGCCTCCTGCTCGTAACTCCTCAAGTACCCTGATCTGGTTTCTGCCCAAATGGAGAGACAACAGCACTCAGCTCCTCATCTCCTGCAATCAGCTCAGGGCCCACACAGTAATACTTTGTGTCTCTCAAAAACACAGATACTCAGAGGAGGATTAAAGAGGGGAAAGGCATCATCAGCTCACTGTTTTCTACTGACTGGAAAACCAACTCTGTGGAAGAACACAGCGCAGACAATCACTTTAGAAGTCTTCTTACCCAGTAAAATGAAAAGGAAAAAAACTAAGGGAATCACAAGATACACACCACTGATAACAAAATGCTGTGTGAGATTAAAACACATGAACACCTTCTCAGGACTGGCTGTTTACCCAGGCGCCAGACAGATGCTCTGCCATCCTTCCCATGACATTTTTACGTATGCTGAGACAGAACATTTCCTATTTTTCCATATTTTAACGTACTTGGACACAATTATGTAACTGGAGACAAACCTGTTGTTAAAGGAAAGCTGGGATGGTCATGAATTGCCATTCGAAGTGAACATAAAGCTATTAGCACATTTAGAGCTCACAATGCGCCCACAAACTGGGACGTGGCCTTCTTTTCCCCCATGGTCTGTATTTGTGTTTTCCTTAGCCAGGGCAGAATTCTCACAACCTGGATAACTATCGCAGAGTGTTTAAGCAGAGGCCTGTGCACAATGGCTAAAAATAAATTGTATTAAAATGAGTCAGTATTTTGTCAACATGATGCCCTATATTCCAGTATTTCCTCCTTCCCTTCTTTTCTCTTTTATGTAATGTGTTGCCTTTATTCAAATACCCTTCAATAATGCTTGGTCTTGATCCAGTGGACAACTCCTGGGGAAGAAAAGGAACTGACATTCACCAAGTGTCCACGATGTACCTCAGCCTCATGTCAAGGTCTCCAATGGGAGCCCTGACTGATCCTTCGCTATAAACCAAGAGGTAGAAACCATTAGGATTTCTATTTTACAGATGGGAAAAGGTGGCTCAGAGAGGTCAAGGGATTTTCCCAAGAGCACACAGCTAGTGAAAAGCATAGGCAGAACCCAGACTTGGGCCTGTATCACTTTGAAGCCAACATTCACTCTTCCCATTATATCACAGGCAGCATTCACTTGCAGGGAATATTTCCAGCCTCCCAGTGGAAATTCCTCTCCATCACACCTGGGCACTGGCTGACTATGCTCAGAGCAGTTGTTCCAGAAAACCAGGTGCTTATGAGTTAACACCTGATGTCACTTAAAGCTCCACCTCAGAAGAAAGCTCATGAGGGTGGTGGGTGATACCACCTTACGACGCAGTCATAATCAACTTACCAAGGAAGCAGAGCCTGGTAAATGCAGCCACATACAAGGGAGCCAATGCCGAGCACAGGTAAATGAGGCCAAGGAATTTTGAGAGAAAGTGGTCCCCCACACCGGGCCCGGCTTCAGGCACCACCACTAAGTTATATTGTTAAACAGTTGCTGGTGATGAGCTGGTAACACTTAAAACTCTGACTGTACTGATGCATACTAAAACCAAGATTGTCTGAGGAGTCTCTTCATCCAGAGGATGAAGGGAGAACATACGGAAGCAGATTTGGCTACAGAAGTAAATAAAATCCCCTCTCAAATCCTTTAAAATACAGGTGCGAACAAATGAGAACCTGCCCCAATAGTGCAGTAATTAAACCCTTCTTTCTGAGACAACTCACATTTTCCAAAACTGGACTAAACTCCCCCTCACCAATATCTGCCTCTTCCAGTAACTAGAGTATGAACAATGATCGAAAAATTGCTGACTGAAAATGGCAGTGGAGTTGCTTCAAGTACTCTAAGATATTTGGGAAAAATAATACATTTTTTAAATACTTACATTGACCAATCCGAAGTAGTGTTCATTGATTGGAAACTGCTCTGGACCAATGTCTTTTTCCAGAGCAGAGGCATTGGTGCCCTAAAAGAGAAAAAGAACAAAAGCTCTGTTGCATGTAAAATAGACAAGAAAGTAAAATGATCCTTGAGCGGCCACTTGAGACAAGCATCTCCCCCGTTGCCCCGATGTCTGATGTTCATGCTGAAAGAAAAGGGGTCAGAAGTAAGCCAGCTGTCAGTCGTCTCCTCATCCTACTTAATCGCCCCTCGGACCTGTCCTCCTGGCTTCAACCATCTTCTACTGGGAAGGGAGGTCTGAGACAGGCAAATGAGCAAACTGTCACGAAGAGCTTCTGAACAGAACATTCTCAGCTCACACAGCGGTGGCTGCCTCAATAATCCTCAGAGGTGTGGAGAATCGTACCATCACCTTCGAAGTCAATTTCTTCATTCTGGTCAAGTTTAACACACACCCCCAGTAGGTGCCGGGCACCATCCTAGGCTCTTACAATAGAACGATGAACAATGCAGACGTGGATGCCTGCTCTTAGGGAGTTCCCATCTTAGTGGATGAAGTCAGAAAAAGCAAGTACACTGGGCAGAGGTGGTAAACACAGTGGAGAAAAACAAAGCAGGAGAGGAGAATAGGGAAGCCAGGGAGTGTGGGGTTAAGAGGCAGGGTGGAAAGGGCAGTAATGCAGGTAGACAGTTGCAGCTTTAAATAGGGTGGCAGAGCTCGGCCGGTGTGGCTCAGTGGTTGAGCATCGACCCATGCACCAAGAGGTCACCAGTTCGAGTCTCCATCTCCAAATTGTGGACCCAATCCCCAAGGGGGGGGCATGCAGGAGGTGGCCAACTGATATTCTCTCTCATCGATGTTTCTCTCTCCTGCTCCCTTCCTCCCTCTCTAAAAATCGATAAAAAAAAAATTTAAATAGGGTGGCAGAGAAGGCCTTATTGACAAAGAGAAATGTTCAAGGAACACTGAGAATAATGGAGAAATACAATGTAAAACCTAATAATTCTCAGATGCATCACATTGGTAAGCCACGTGAACCCCAGTTTAACACTCCAATACAATGATGATAATAGTTACTGGGGCCCTGCTTGGTTTGGCTCAGCGGTTGGAGAATCAGCCTACAGACCAGAGTCCTGGGTTCAGTTCCGGCTAGGGGCACATCCCTCCCCCCCCCAAAAAAAGTTACTGGAAACTCCTACCATGTGCTAGGGACTGTGCTATTTATTCTCACAACAATCCTATAAGGTAAGTACTATTATAATCTCCACTTAACAGACAGAACATAAGGCTCAAAAAGGTTAAGAATCTGTCCAAGGACCACAGTGGCAGAGCTGGGACTTGAACGTGGGAGTCAGACGTGGGAGCCCTCGACCTTAACCACATGCTACACAGAGCAATCCTATCAAACAAAACAAACCAGTGGCTGTGGCCCACTAAGGTCCAGGGTGCACCGGCAATACCACCGTGGCTGTCATTGCTCCTGAAGGCCGAGGTGGGTCTGCTGGGATGAGGAAGGGGAGAGAGGTGTAGTGAGGTGAGGAGTGGGGGTGGGCAGGGTCAGGCGATCACTGCAGACACACAACTCGCAGAATCTCAAAAGTGTAGGAGACAGGTATTTTAAAAGGAAAGAGACTTTTATTAAAAAAAATAAATCTGCTGCTGCTACTTATTCTGGACTAATATAATTAGCATCTCCGGAAGAAATTAGTCACAGGAAGAAATGGCCCCAAAATGGGCTGAGAACCAGTCAAAATGGTCACATGTCAATAAACACCATTAAATGCAAAAGAACCCAATTCTATGCAAACAGAATCACAGCAGAAATTGCACATTCCATCTCCTTATTAGAACATCCTCTGTTTTCACTTGTTTTCTATGTCTACATACTGTTCCACCAACCTACATCCCTGAACCCTCTTTCTAAGACTGAATTCACTGGTCATCTGTGTGCACAGCCGCTTCACTACCTCTGTGTGTGCGCACGCGTGTGTGGTTTTCACTGCCTTCAGAAGAGTGCAACCCCATACACAGGCTGAATTTTTTAAATAATACTTATATTACAGCAAGATTTTATGGTATAGATAAAAATCACTAAAAATTTTCAATAAAGCTACATCTCAATCATAAATCGATGTAAATAATGCATATTAAATATACCCATAGCCATTTTTGAAGCAACATTAGTATATATGGCTTAGAGCCCGGAAGGAATGTCAGACGCACAAAAGTATAGCACATGGAGACAGATCTCATTAAATCTTTCTTTATAAGCTAGCCATATATTCATGTTAATCCATTATTTTTGCTATTTGGGAATTATTGGACTGAATCTGGTTTCTACCTATCTTATATTCTCCCACTGGAGGGCGCGTTGGAGAAGGAGGGTGATGACTCTTACTGAGGACAGCGACCCAGGGCGCAGGGTTTAAGAAAAACAATCTGTAGAAACATCTGCCCTTCTGTGGCCTGTGCCTACCAGCACTGTCCAAACTCCTTCCTTTCTCCTCTTCTTGGCTGACCCCCATTCGCAGAAGACGCACCTTTACATTCTGTCTCCTGCCAGCATCCTGGGTAGTTCCAATACCCACGGAGAGGCGTCTTCCCACACCCTGCTCTCTCAGCAACTTGATGTCCTCTTTCCCAACTGTCTTTTGTTCCACTCTACTTCAAACGCCCACTCCCAAGGACTGCCTGGGTCGGTGACCCCTAAAACCCAGCCAGGCTCAGCTCTGCCCGATGACTTCTCAACACCCTCCCGTCACAGCTACACACATGGCACCAGCTCTCTTACTCTACTTTCTTAGTCAGCTTAGAGTCCATGGATCACGATCTCAATTGCTCTTGTAAACGCCCCTTACCCTGTCCTTCGGTCATACCACCGGCTAAACAAACAGTACAAACCAAACCATCTTACGTTCTCTGAATACACACCCAAACAGATGTACAGTGCCAGAGGGGAAAAGCCACACAACCAAGCTCACTGGACTCACTAGCATTCACCAAATTCAAGCGGCCTTCAACATGTCCCACAATCCAATGTTTCTCTAGCACACTCCTTCTCCACTCCACAGTGACTGTTCCCAACTTCCCCCAAACTCCTCAAAACCCCAGCATCCCCTCTGCCCTTCTCACTGGCCTCCTACTCAACAGAAAAAAAATTTTTTTTAAACCAGCAGAGAAGAGCTCCCATAATTTTGTATTCTCAAACCTTCAAACCCATGTGCATGCCCTGTTAATGACAGAGATCGCTCTTTTGTCCAAGGCCAATCTCTCTTCTGCTATTAAACCCTTCCCATCAGAATGTAACATGCTTAAGTGTCTCTCCTATTAAAAATCCATACATACTTCCACACATCTCCCCAGTTCCCACCCTCGTTCTCACCTCTCCTTTGCAGTGAAGCTTATTTAAACGACTATCTGTTCTGAAACACTGACAAATGAATCGGATCATCTCTAAGATTTGTTTCAAATGATCCAGGGGTGAAGTGGGGATAAAACTGTGTTGCTGAAGCTGAGTGGTGGGTAGGTAGGACTCAATATACTACTGTTTATAATTTTACATGTATGTGTATAGGCAGAATAATGGTCTCCCAAAGACGTCCACGTCCTAACACCCAGAACTTGTCAATACACTGCCTTAATTTAGGTTGTAGACAGACTTCATTGGCCAATCAGCTGACATGAAAATAGGGGAACTGTCCTGGATTATCAATGTCCTCATAAGCATCCTTAAAAGTGGGGGACAGAAGCAGAACAGATGAGGGTGATGCAATGTGTGAAGGGCTCCACTCACCTTGGCTGATTTTGAGATAGAGGAAGGGCTCAGGAGCCAAGGAACACAGGCAGCCTCTAGAAACTTAAAAGGCAAGAAGACAGTCCCAGGAAGAACACCACCCTGCACTGTATTTTATTTTATTTTTTTGTGGTATGTGCCCCTAGCGGGAACCAAACCCGGAACTCTCTGGTCCACAGGCCAATGCTCAACTGCTGAGCCTAACTGACCAGGGCGTGCACTGTCTTTATTTTGAACCCAGTGGACTCATTCAGATTTCTGACCTCCAGAACTGTGAGACAATACATTTGTATTGTTTAAGAGAGGAAGTTAATGGTAATTGTTTCAGCAGCCATAGGAAACTAATAATATACATCTGAAGTTTTCCATACTATTCTTTAAAATTTGTCTCTACTTCCTTACCTCCACATCTCCCCTCAAAACAGCCCCTTCTGGGCCCTACCCCAACTCCATCCCTGATGAGCTCTAAACACTGACAACTCCAGGGGACACCTTTAGCTGTTGGCTTTCTCCATGTGCTGTCCAAGACCCTCCTCCTCTCTGTGGGTTCCAGGCAATAACCATTCCCAGGCTTCATTCAGCGGCTCCGTGCCAACCCTCTCCAACTCTTTATCTCCATCCCAGAAACCTCACTTCTAAGTTCACTCAGACTGAATGAATACTGACATTTTCACTTGCTTGTCTCATAGGCAGTCAAAACCAATCTGCCCCAAACTAAAGCCTGTACTTTTCCTTCCCCCCCAAATCCAATCTTTTCCTGGTGTTTCCCCACTTAGGAAATGACAATGCCACCCTCCTCCTGGCTAGAAACCTCAGGACAGTGCCCAACATCCCCCTCTGTACTCTGCAGCCATCCATCACTGTCTTACTGATTCTCTCTCCTTAAATCTCCCAAATACATTCGCTTCTTTTTCATCTCCTGCCACCAGCATCTTTCATTTGAATTACAAAAGTGTCCTAAGTAGCCTCCAACATCCATTTATTCACCTCTGACCTGGGTGTCAACACAGCAGCAAAAGTGCTCTTTTTAAATACAAATCTGCCTAAAAATCTTTCTCCAGTGACTTCCACTACTGTCTCCAATGTCTCTCCCTTGCTAGTCACTGACTCCTACACAATGGCCTTCGTTCCCACCCACACATCACCTGAGATTCTTCCCTGCTTCCTCACTTCTCTGGGAATTCCTCACTGACCTCTTCCTAGATTAGGTTAGTCCCTTGACAGACAATCATGGCCCCTCGAAAATGTCCACACCCTAATCCCTGGAACC